AGTTTTGGGTCGAAAGGAGCACGTTTGGGGTGAAGTGTGCTAGAGGAGAAAAATACCCGGCTATGAGCAGAAATACCCGGCCGAGTATTATTTGGAGATGACCGGGTATTTGATGATCCGGGCGTCTTTGGGAAGCAGAAGGGAGCCCGGACAGGAAGCAGAAATCCTCGTTCGGGGATTCGTGGCCATGACTGGGGATTTTCCCCTGTTACCCGACGGTGCGTTTCGAACATACTCGGTCGCCACACAAAATACCCGACCAGGTATTCTGGCCGGGGATCGCGACAGACAGCTTCTTAAGGGAAAAGAAGGCCAAAAGTGAGTGGTTCCGAGTTTTAGAGAAAGAAAGCGATTCCTAGAGAGAGAGCGACGGACCAGAGTTCCCAAGTGCCCTAGCTTGATCTTCATCACCATTGGAGCTCGGCTCACACTTGGAGAAGTGCCGATTGACGACTAGGAGCAGAAACCCATCCTTTACAGCATGATTTCTGCATTTGAGCTTGCTTTTGCTTCTCTCTCCATGGAGTAACTTTTCATCTGGGTATGGACAACCCTAGATTTGTATGTTAGGTCTGATTGTATGAACCCAAGTACAGATTCTATGATTTGATTATATTCAAGTGAGGTTTGAATTGTTGAATGACATGAATCCTTATCAAATTCCTGTTATTTCTGCTTTGACCTAGAAAGAGAATATATGCCTAGGTTGATAGAGCACCCTTAATTGAAGGTAGTGAATTGGCGACTTTAGTCGAGGAGCCAATTCACTATTCTGTACCGAATTTACTTCGGTAGTGGAGGTTTGGTTCGTTAGGGCCTCAATCTGTTTACTCCGGTGGAGTTTAGTCGCCCGTTTGGGACTCAGATTGAGAGGGCCTGGAGACCTTTAGTCGAGACTTCAGACTACTTAAGAACCTCCCGCAGTATAACTATCATTAAAACTGAACTTGGTAAATTACAATGCAGCTTAACTGCAGTCTAGGGGGAACCATATCCGGGTGACCTCTCTCGACTTGAAAACAACCTTCTTGCTTGCTTTGCTTGTTTGCTTGTTTGAACCTGCACTAAAGTTTCACCGCTAAATAATAAGAATTCACTAAGTAGTCATCACATCTAGGACCCGGGTTGATATTAAAACCCAAACCCGCTATACTACGCTTTAGGAAGTGGTTACACTTGGCCATTTTCTAGAGTGACAGTAGGAGTGAGTCAGTTGGTGTCTTGTTGTTTTCGTGGTTGTTTCGTTTTGCATTCTGGTGTGTGTTTTTGTTTTGTTGTTTTCATGTTTGTTTCGTTTTGAGTTTGTTATCCAACATCGTACGTCGGGGGTTGTTGAGGTTGTTGACTCATCCCAAATACCACAATAAATTCCCGCCTAAGGTCCAAGTATAAATGTTAGTCGGTCCGTCTATCCTTACTTCAGTCATTTGAATCATTATCTAGCAACTCGGTTTTGGTTGAAAAGTTTGCTAATTAAAGTAAAGCAAGAAAAAAGTGAATGGTTTTGAAAGCTCATTTTTTAGAAGGATCACTCTGGTGTCGCTTCCCCCAAACTACTACCACTGTATGTGAATCGAAATGATTGATATAGGCAAGGTGGTCGCGAACCGCTAAGGGATGCAAGTATGGTCGTAGGCTACACTCATGATTGCTAAACCGAGGAATACATTAAAGGTTGTTACTCGGCCCTCTCGGTTTAGGCAATCAATAGTTTCCTTACTCCCTCACTCGACCCAAGGGTTGGTCAGCTCAATTGCTCTTAACCAAATTGTTTAATTCCACATTGAGGTTTTCCCTAAATTAACCTAGATAGGAGACTTAAAAATCCCTAGGAATACGAATTCAATTGAGTCTCCCTTGGAAGGGGGGTTTTCCTCCCTAATCTAGGTTAAGTGGCTAATTAGATTGCTAAGCAAAAAATGCACAACCCTTAGATTGCTAAGCACAAACATGCACAATCAACATGAATAATACTTCAATCATTGAATTAAACAAAACCCATCGATAATCATTCAATTCACATAACATAAAACTACATGGTAGCTAGCTAGGGTTTCACAACACCCAAGTGAGAAAGAAATCTACTCCATGCTAGAAATGGGAGAAACACAAGGGGAAGACGTAGAAACCATCACGAAGGAGGCTACCAATGTTCTTGCCACTTGTGCTGAACTTCTCTTGGGGAGAATCTTCCCAAATCCACTCTTGGAGCAAAACCCTAGTCTCATTCTCCTTTGGTTCGTCCTTCTCTCTCTAAAAGATGAAGAAGGCTTTCTCACTCAAGTGGCTCACCCACTCTCTTCCTTTCAGCTCATCTTTTAAACTGGGAACAAGCTCAGTTCACGGTCGTGAACTCTCAAACGCGTACGTAAACTCCAAATGGGCGCCAAAAAGCACCGCTTCGTCTGCACGTGTTCACGATCAACGACTCCTGTTCACGGTCTTAGTGACCATGAACTCGCCTTGCGTCAGTAACATCTGGTAATGCTCTGGATGCCTCAACGTTCGCGGGCAACAGCTCTTCTTTACGTTCATACAAGACCATGAACATCCAGGGAAAATCATGAACTCGCCGTTTTACACCTCTTCTTCCGGTTTTCGATCCTTTTCGTCCAACTTTCGACTCTGGGGCTGGTTTCACCAGTTAAATCCTGAAACATGCTAAAATATGAGAAACCCTGCGTAAAACCACCTTTTTAGGAGCGAAATTGGCACAAACACCTAAGGAAAACAGGGGTAAAACATGTACAATTAGGGCCGAATTACTCCCCCACACTTAGACGTTTGCTTGTCCCCAAGCAAACCATTTCACACAAGGTAGTATTTCAACCTACATAAATACATTGGGGACAACTCAAAGGGAACAAAGTGAGAATTCTCAATGGCTATTGGCAATTAACACATGGACCGTTGCAAGCAATACCGACATCCACCACAAACGACATTCGAAGCCACCAAAAATGGGCAAAAAACCCCTCCTACAGTATGCACTTTGGTTTTTCATGGCACTCTCTACTTTATTTACCCCATTTTATTACCTTTCTTTTCTTTTATTTTTCTTTTCTTTTTGAGGGGGGTACAAGAGAGTAAAACCTTTTCCACCTATACATTTAACGACAAATGCTCTCTTTCTCCAACACTACACTTCATTTTTCATTCCTAGCAAGGATCGCACACAAACCTCCTATGTAAAACCTCAATGGAACTCGAAAGTGAGAGCTCCGGGACACAAGGAAGACTCATTTTTAGACACAAGGAAAGGATTGGGGGTGGTTTTATTAACACCATTAAGCTCACAAGCAAGAAGCTCCTAAATTGATAACGACCCTCGAAGTCACAAGGCTCAAAGGGGTTGACTAGTGGATAACACATTTCGAGACAATCAACATTTGGGTGTGGACTAATCCTATGCCTCCATCATACTCACTAGTGACAACTGTGATGTTACTCGCCATGGTAAGAGGGATCTAAGCACACAAGAAGAAAACGATAGGCTCAAAGCTCACATGGCTACCTAGTCACCCAATCATTTATTCCAGTTCACAAACACAATGCATGGCAATTGTAATCGACAAGTAGTCGAGTCAAGACATCCATTCAATTATGCACATGTGAGAACTAAAATTTTGCACTACCCTAATGAACCTCTCAGTCATCATCATAGGATATACTCGATCACATGCAACAATTCAAGATCAATGGCAATAAACACGAGAATTTCTCACACACCAGCCACTTTGATCATGCAAACATTGCTTGGAGCCCTCAAATTTTTTAAATTTAGGCAAACATAAGTCTCTAAGCATCAATCACGCTCACACAAGCATAAAAACTACCCCCCCCCCCCCCCACCACACACTTAAGCTCGACATTGCCCTCAATGGCATAAGAAAGGGGTAGAATGATGTTACCGCTTGGGCTTGGTGAGTGAAAGTTGGAAACGACCGGGGTAGGATATTTTGAGCTTCTAGGAGAGACAAAAAACACACACACAAACACAATACGACTAGGTCGAGGTCAGATCCAATCCCCCATCACCAAGACAGTCACAACGACAACAACCCCACCTCCCCACAACGATCATCGTTCTTCTTCTTCGGACGGCGCGAGAGGACAAAGCCCTGTACCGTCAGCAACTGTGGAGCCCACAACTTTGCCAGCTTCAAGTGCGTTGCTTCCAAAGACGAATACTCTAGTGACGGCGGTGGGTTCGACGGCGATATGTCTCGTATGAGAGGCTACGGCTTTGAAGCCGGAGGCGGCGGCGGTGGAAGCGAGAAACCGAATTGCTTTCTGAGACTAGTGAGAGAGAGAGAGAGAAGGGGCTAGTCCCTCCACCACAAAACTAAATCCGCCCATCCCCCAATAGCAAAACTCAATCTGAAAATATAAACCTCAACCCCAAATCTGCAGCTCCACAAAAAAAACCCTCCAATTAGTCGCTCAACCAGCTCAACCAACTTCCTTCATCTCTCTATTTATTTCTGGATATTGCTCAAGTTCGACCTTCCAATCTACGTAGATTGAATCTAGGTCAGAAAAGAATTGAGTTTTTGAGGTGTGGTCGGGAATGGCTGGTGTCAAAGAAGAGGAGAGAAATGGACGAGCGATTGTTGTTGCCGCCATCAAAGGGTTTCACATCGAGATGAGGATTTAGTCGTGGAGTTCGACGATGAGGGCAGCGACGTAAGGGTTTTGACGATGAGAAGGTGAACAGTTGGTGTGGAGTTGGGACGATGAGAAGGAGACCAGATTTATTTTAAATAAAAGGATTTTAACTTAATTATAATAAAAGGATTGAACTTTGAGTGTTTTTCAGGTGGCATTAATTTTCAATAAAATATGCCATGTCAATTGGTTCTGTTAATCAAGTCAGCATGTTGGATGGCACCGTTAAAGAATTGGACGGAAGTGCTATACCTAGTATTTTCGAAAAGTGGCTATTATTGGCAAAAACGCAAAAGTTATGGTCATACAAATGTATTTCGCCATTTTTTATTAACCAAATAAGCAATTTAGTACATCTGCCGGATCAATCCGCGGAAAGTGGTAGGTAGCTAGTGAGATAGATAGCCAGCTAGGCTAGGCTAGGTAGCGGCCGGTCTGGTCAGCGCATAACTCTCGGGGTATTACAACCTTTAATTTAATTATAATTATTATTGTCCGCCCATAAAGGCAAATCCACAAAGCAGAAAAGAAAACTCAAAAAAAGGAAGCCGCGTCGATACGGAAATCACCGTAATTATTGAAGAGAGTCCTGCCATGCTCATCATCACCGTCCAATAATCCTCCAGCTCCATGCTGATATTCAAACTGATGATGGCCGTACGCATCATCATCAGCCACGTGGTTGTCGACTACGTAACCGCCGCAATGAGGATCATCCGCCGGATCGTTGTTCCTACTGGCCGACGTCGAGGGACCATCGAAATCCATGAAGTTGTGCTCATCCTCCGCCGGTGCTCGGAACGCGTCGTGGAAATAGGCAGGGGAATGCAGAGCGTGGGAGCCATAAAGGGATGGGATCAACGAAGAATCTTCCTCGTAATAATGATAAGGCTGGTCTTGTTTCTCTTTGCTGGTAATGCTGTCGGCCAGGAAGTCCATTATTAGAGGGTCGTACTGATCCAAGGACTCGATGAAGGCCAGCTGGTCAGGGTTAGACGACGCCGTTTGCGCCGGGAGGTCGTTGTTGGACGTTGAGATGGACGTGGTGGCCGCGGTGCTCTCCGACAGGCTGGACGCGGAGGCACTTCGGTGCATCATGAGATTGGTACGGTCGCTGGCGGCGGCGGAGGCCGAGAGGATGGACTTGAGGGCGTTGAGGCAGTGCAAAGGGTGGGCGAGCCGGCTGGCCATCTTGTTGAGCAGCTTCGCCGATGAGCTGGATGACGCGGGGCGACGTCGCGTCTTAGTGGGAGCGTCGTCTTCCACGACGCCGTTTGCTCCCTCTTCTATTTCTTCGTCCTGTTCGGCGCTGAAGCGGCTTGATGCGTGAGGAGGAGGAGGAGCGAGTTTGGCCGCTAGCTTGTTGAGGAGCTGAGCCGAAGCCGAAGCCGAAGCGGGAAAGGAGGAGGACACGTGGGCTTGAGCAGGAACAAGTTGCGGTTGTTCTTGTCCAGCAGCAGCAGCAGCAGGTGTGGGTGGGGCGGTTGGAGTGTTGTTGCCGGAGAGGGACGGAACGGCGTCGTCAGAGGAGGAGGAGGACCCCGCGGTGGGGCTGATGGGCTTGTGGGTGGTTGGATGGATGCCCTTTTCCAAGAGCCGCTTCTTGAGATGCGTGTTCCAATAATTCTTGATCTCGTTGTCAGTTCGCCTGGGAAGATGTCTGGCAATGGCGGACCACCTGCAAGTGAAAGCCAAATCCACCACAATAATAAGAGATAAGGTCCTTCCGTCGTCTTCTCGCTGGCTCATCTATATATACTTTTTACTGTTCAAAATCTTTTTTCATATTTTTTTTTCCATTTAAATTATAGATACATACATGTAATAATTAATTGCTCAAATGCATGGTTGTCAAGTCAACCGGTGATATTGCGACCGGTATAATCGGTATCTATTACAAAATCGGCTGAAATGTTTTGGTGAAGATCGATTTTCCACCTCTAATGAAAACGACGTTGTTTTAGCAAATTTAATTATCAAACAATTTTTTTTTTAATTTAATAGTTAGATGTTGCTGTTATTTATTGGATTCAAGTATAAATATTTAGATGTTTATGTTATTTGTTAGATTCAAGTATAAACGTTAGTATGTTGGCATTAAAAATATTGTATTTAAATATGTTGGTATTTCATTTTGTTTAGAATGTCGTATTTTTATTTAAACTCGACCATAGATTTCAGAGAGATTATTTTCAAATATGTTATATTTATAGCTAAACTCATTTAGTATTAATATTTTCTCACTTCTCTACATATTCAACTAAAACTAACATGAACTTACATAAATCGATTGTACTATATCACTTGTCAAACAAAGTTGATGGTATAAACCAATTTGAGAAGCTTTTTAAAAGGAGAAAGAAGGAGGAGCCAGAAGCTATTTTGTTTTTATTATTGCGATTGGAAAGCGGACGAAGGAGGGGTTGTCCAAGTCAGGAGGGGAAAGAAGGAAGAAGACAAGGTCTTAATCGTCGGGATTTTCTCTTTACCCTACCTAGAGGTAGAGGAGGAGGATGTGATTTGTTGGGTTATAGGTAGAAAAGGGGCATGCACATGGTGCATTTAATTTCATGGCAGGTACGCCACCAAAAAGAATAACAGTAAAAGCTGATTGGCCGGCCCGCCCGGAGATGGAGCTATTCGACCCGACCCGACCCGATTAAAGCGGGAAGCGGTGGGGGGTAAACGCAAAATTTGAAAGCAAGTTGCTAGCTGCTCAAGTTGAAGCCAACATCATTGCAATGTTGTACAGGAGGGATCAATCATATGCCTTTTGTTGTTTTTTAGTTTGTGTTGGAAGGATATGTGAGGTGTTTTGTTTGTTATGTCAGACAAAATGGTGGGTGGGGTTTCCAGTGCACAGACAGTTTTGGTTAAGGGTGGTCATTATTATTATTTCCCCTCTGGCGACTTTTAGCAAGGCTATCGCTGGTGATTCTGTGAGGTCGCAATTAATCTCCTACAAACCAATAATATAATTTTGAAGTAGATAATATGACAATTACATCATGACTAGGAGAATCCAAGCACATCAAACATGTTTGATCGTGTCCAAATTAAACCCATGTACGTACGGGCACCACTTAGCCTCACCCAAGAGTCATGTATATTAACTCATCAAGGTCTGTACTCTGTACTTTCAGAAAAGTCCAGACAACCCCACCAAAGCAAACAAGCTACGATGGAACACCATTACAGTGTAGGGGGCGCAATTATTTCACTCCACAAGCTATTCATTAATCCTACATACATGTGGTGTGAAATGTACAAGGAGAAGCAATAATGACCAAAAGCAGGACGGTGAGGATTCCTATTTCTGATGCAGCAGCAACAACTACTACTATATGGGAGACCAAATTCTATCGGCCGGTTGAGGAGCATTTAAGACTCATATATCTACGATAGTTGCCAAATTATCAAGGTTGTTATTTTGTGATGCGACATAATAATAATAATAATTTTTTAATATATCAGGGATTGATTTTAAATAGCGGATGATGAAACTCATGATTGAATGAAAAACAAGGTCTTAGACATGAAAATGAGATTGGCAGCAGGGACCAGCTTTAAATTAAAATCAATTATTATTAATGAATTGCAATGATAATGAGGATCCAGATTATTTTATCAAAATTGTTATCCTAATTTTTAATGTTGGAATCTAAGTGTCCAAATCTGTGAGATTCCAGGGGAGCAACTTGTATAAATTAAAGAAAGCTAAACTAATTAATTGAGGAGAAAATTAAAAGAAAAGGGGAGAAATGAATGATGAAGTGGATCTTACTTCACGGGCGGGCGGGTACCTGTTGCCAAGGGAGGCATGCAGCTCAATGATCCTGTCTTCTTCCTCCGGGCTGAATTCCCCTCTTTTGATGTCCGGCCTCAGGTAGTTGGCCCATCTCAGCCTGCAACTCTTCCCGCACCTCTGGAGCCCTGCATTCATTCATTTTCTTTACCAGAATTACGGGTAGCTACTTGCGCGCGGAATAAGCAAAGCAAAGCAGAGCAGAGAAGTAGTGACCTGCTTTCTGAGGGAGAGTCCGCCATCCTCCCTCGCCGTGCTCTTGAATGTAGGCGATAAGCTTCTGGTCCTCCTCACTGGTCCACGCTCCTTTCTTCAAACCATCCACATTGCAGCATGGAGTTCTCCCCATGATCGATCTCTACCTACGTGCCCCCTTCACATCTACACATATATATACATTAATTAATTATATTAATGGAGAGGAGAAAGAGAGAGAGAGAGAGAGAAAAGGACCAACGTATACTCTATGTATGTAGTTGGCCATTTCTAGTTATTTTTCTTTTCCCCCCTCCCCCGGAATGGAATGGGGAATGGAGAAAGAAAGAAAGAAAAAAGAGAGAAATTATTGAAGAGGCAGAATCCTGACATTTGTGGTGGACTGGTTGCTTTGCTGCTATTCTTGCTGGCTGCTGCTACTTGGCTGGCTGATTATCCTCTCACTTCTCTAAGTGCCTCCCCCCAACTATATAGGTGAACAGTAGTTTCATCCACATACATACTTCATCTCATTGGGAATGCCACATTCATAATAGAGGAATTGCCAAAATGGCAGCTTCTGCAGAAACAATCATATATCCCCTCCCTGCCCTGTTATTACATTTCTTATTTATTCTTTGTTTGGGTTGCACATACCCAGATAGCGAGAGATAGATAGAGTGTGTGCTTTTGGCGAGAGAGAGAGAGAGAGAGAAATTGGTAGCTAGAATGTGTGTGGTGTGGTTTAGAAGTGAGGGATCGGGTCGACCTCATTACTCATTATATACTTTGATAAACCCCTCTCCTCTCTTGTTTTCTACTCCAGTTATTTGCCTTGTTTTAGGGACACTATGGCTTTTATTTTATTCCCGTCCTCTGCCCCATTAGGGTACGACCCCCCCACAGATAGTCACATGTGCATGGGGACAGGACAGCTTCCATTCTCCAGTTCCTTTCACCCACTTATGCTTGTTTGATTAAATCAGATTGCATTCTTCGTTTTCGGTTACCATTGTTATCATACTTAAAAAACTTTTTATAACTCCTCTTTTCAATTATGGACCGATGAAGACATAAGTATTTAGTTCATACTTTTTAGACATTAAATTGGGATTTTTGTCTATTTTATATTTTTGGTGATGTTTTGGGTATTATATATATATGTGTGGAATCAGTCTAAGTTGAGTGATTAAGCTATGTTCCCCTCTTTCCCTTTTCCTTTCTCTTGTTCGTCCTAAAATGAGCTATTTTCCCCTCTAATTCAATCCACCTCTCTCTATTCCTCTATCCATATGTGTTTGTGATCACGTCCGAACCACCCATGGATACACCAAGGGGTATCTGAGACTAGTCGGACGTTAGGATTTTCAGAGATTCCGAGAATATATGATTTGTCACATTAATCGTTTGACTCAACCCGAATGCACCACTTATAAATTCTTGATGAAGGTCCAAGTATAAACCTTAACCGGGTGAAGTAAAGGCAAGTATGTTTAAATATCGACATAGACCGGTTCATGTACCCCTACTTCGATTGTTTGTAACATTATCTAGCGATTGGTTTTGGTGAAAACAAAGAACTAAAGCTAAAGTACTTGCAAAGAGAAATGGTGTTGACACTAATTGAGAAGACTTCACCCAGGTGTTGCTCTCCCTAGCTAGCAATTACGATTGATGGATCGAATGGCCGTGTGTTGTGAGGGGGTTGTAAACCGTAGGGAAGTCTAACAAGTAGCCAAAGCTACCCTCTTAGTCTCTAGGTCGAGGAAAGGGGATACAATCCAAGACACTAATGCGACTCTCTCAACCTATTGACTAAGGATTGGTTAGACTTCACCCTCGAACCGGAGTTCCGACGACCACACACGACCAAACCCTAGGTGCTAATATGAAATAGGAGGTTTGCCTTGCGTTAAACTAACTAGGAGACAATAAATTGCCTAAGAAAACACATCATTCAAGCCTCTTTCAATGAAAGGAAGAGGGTTTTCTCTCTACCTAGGTTAGAATGGCAATTAGATTGATAAAGTAAAGGTTGAAAATAAACCTGGAGACTTAAGTAGGGTCGAGGTGGAAGTGAGGAAAGGACGAGGGAGCCGAAAAAATTGCACGAAAACTGGGCGGAGAGGGCTCACCAGAGCCTCATCGGAAAATCCTCGGAGGCTCGCCGGAAAATAAAATGAGACCCAAATCTCCCCAAAATGCCTGTGAAGGTGCGCCCGGGTGAGAGGAGAAGGGATATGTAATTTATTTTAGTTTTGGAGGTTGGAGGACGCCGAGATCTACCAGAATTGACGGAAAATCGCAGTTTTCTGGCGACTTTTTGAATTTCCCGGTGAGAAGGGGCAACCGTGAAGTGATTTGAGTCGTTCACGCCCCTTTTATAGGCAGAACCTTTAGTTTACGGACGGAGGTGTCAGTTCGCGGTGAGTAAGACCGTGAACTGGGGTTAAACGTTCATTTTTGAAAACAGGGGGAGCACCCTCAGTTCACGGACGGAGGCTCCACTTTACGACCCTCTAAGACCGCTAACTAGAAGCCAAAACCATGAACTGTGTAAAAAAAACAGGGTACTCCCAACAATTTTGGACTCAATCTACTCCACTGTGCCCCTAATGCGATTACACCATATCCCATAACATGAAAACACAGAGACTTGGCACGGTGATACCCCAAATTCAACACTTGAACTCTTTACAAACACACAAAAAGAGAAAAATAAGGGAAAAAAAAACAAACCGTCGTTGGGTTGCCTCCCAACAAGCGCTAGTTTAACATCACTAGCTCGACGTTGCAGATCTATCATGATTTAGGGCATGAAGCCACCGAGAGTGGATCCGCCACGGTCTCGGGGCAAGGTTTGACACCTCCTTCCATAAGCTCCGTAGGGTGGCCCTCTTGGCCCGGCATCTTCGCCTTACCCTTATCTTCTGGTTGGGAGGAGGTTTGATGAAGCCTATCCCTCCACACTCTCTTCTTCTTTTCTCCGGGCTTAGCACCCTGATGACTCGGTATTTGCACATGTTTTTCCCTTTGTTTCTTGATTGTTTGAGCTTGAATTATTGCGTCTTTGGCCTATTTTATGCTAGGTTGTGTTCCTTTGTCCCATTTCAGGTCCTAGCACATAAAGTGAAGCATAGGCGCAAGTTTCAAGTCAATCAGAGATCAATTGACGATTCGAGAGAAGAAACTCGGGCATGACCTGAAGAAGAATGGATTTCTACCTCACTTTATGGACAAAGAATCATGCAAGCTTGTTATGAAACGAAAGAGGACGAGACTACGAGCGTCTGGGATCAAACGGCGATTGATTCGGAGTCCGGACGAGGGAGAAACGAAGCATTAAACAGAGGCTGAGCAAGCTGCACGGGCAGACCAGCGTGGCCACGCACGGCCGTGCAACATACAATTCTGGCCGTGCGAGTTGGCTGAGGTTCAACTAATTGATACGCCGCGTTTTGAGGTGCACGGCCAGAATGGTGATGTGCACGGCCGTGCACCCTGGCCGTGCGAGTCGGGATTTTCTCCTTTTAAGCAGAATTTCAGCCACAATTCGGGGGAATTGGAGTTTTTGAGAGAGAGATCAGTTCCTAGAGAGAGAAAGTGACGAGCAAGAGTTCCCAAGTGCCCTAGATTGATCTTCAACACCATTGGAGGCCAGCTTGAGCTTGGAGGAGTGCCAATCAACGTCCAGAAGCAGGAATCCATCCTTTGCAGTATGAATTCCGTGTCTGATTCTGCTTTTGCTTTCTTCTCCATGGAGTAGTTCTCCCATTCATCTGGGTATGGAGAACCCTAGATTTGTATGTTAGGCTTTGATTGTATGAACCCAAGTACTGATTCTGTGATTGATTATATTCGATTGAGGTTTTAATGATTGAATGACTTGAATCCTGATCAAATTCCTGTTGTTTCTGCTTTAACCTAGAATGAGAATATCTGCCTAGGTTAATAGAGTATCCTTGATTGAAGGTAGGGAGTTGGTGACTTTAGTCGAGGAGCCAACCCACTATTCTGTACCGGATTTACTCCGGTAGTGGAGGTTTTGTTCTTAGGGCCTCAATCTGTCGACTCCGGTGGAGGTTAGTCGCCCGCTAGAGAGTCAGATTGAGAGGGTCTGAAGACCTTTAGTCGAGACTTCAGGCTGTTTAAGAACCTTCCGCAGTATAACTGTCATAGAAACTGAACTTGGTAATTACAATCCGGCTTAACTGCAGTCTAGGGGGAACCATATCCGGATGACCTCTTTAACCTGAATACAACCAGTTTACTTGCTTTGTTTGTTTGGTAGTTTAGACTTGCACTCCAGTTTTATTGCTAGATAACAAGAACTCACTGAGTAGTCAGCAAATCTAGGACCCGGGTTGATAATTAAACCTAAACCCGCTATACTACGCTTTAGGAAGTGGTTACACTTGGCCAATTCCTGGAGTGACAGTAGAGTCGAGTCAAGTTTTTGGCGCCGTTGCCGGGGACGGCTAGGTTGTTGAAGAAAAGTGATTTCTGTTAATTTAGCTTTTCTTTTTGCTTTGTTTTCTTTGTCCCACTTGTGCCTTCACGGGTTTGTTGCTTGAGTGTGTGCAGGTAGTGCATGACCCGTAGCCAGTCGGGAGGTTTACTGCCGTTGAATCCAGAGATTGACCGCACCTGTCACCAGCTCAGGAGACAACAGCGAGCTAGACTGGCTACGGAAGAGCGCATAGACGGCCACCTGAGCAGCGATTCTGAAGAAGAGCACGGAATGGACGGAGACTACAATCAGCACCAGGGGAATCCCCCGGTGAATCAGGTCCTGGGGAACAACCCCATACCCCAGGATCATGGAGCTCATCATCCACCGCAGCCGGGTCCCACCCTGGAGTACTACTACACTCCGCGGATTGCTGACATCCGCCCGGTCATCCTCTACCCGCCGATCCCAGCAAACAACTTTGAGATCAAGCCATGCTGGATTCAGCTCATCACATCTTCTATCCAGTTCCATGGCTTGAAGAATGAGGAGGCCAGGGTGCATCTTTCCCGTTTTCTGCAGCTGACAAACGGGTTCAAGCTGAACGGTGTCCCGGATGATGCGATCCGCCTTCATCTCTTCCCCCATTCTCTGGCGGGGAATGCTAAGAGGTGGTTGGAGACCCAGCCCCCATTGTCCATCAC